GCCCTTGAAATTTTGAGTTTTGTATTCCCCAATTCCCAATATCACAAGGTCACACTCAAAGCATTTTCATGGTGCTTTTGGAGGTTTTAAAATCTTTGGACTGGGGAGTCTTTTGCAAAAACTTCGTCCTTGCCTTTCCTTTTCTGAATTCAAAGGAGAGCAAAGGTTCTTTCTCCGCTCACAAACATCTTCTTTATTTTTTGGAGGGCGGACGGATTCAGGTGTGGGTCCGATGGGACCAAGGCTGTGTTGAGGTGAGTCTCTGCTGATCCAGCGATGGTGCATGATGTTCAACTGCTCACTGTTGTTTTTGGCCAATGAGTCTGTTTCTTTAGCTCAGTGTTTCTCAACCTCAGCCACTTGCTGGCTGGGGAATTCTGGGAGTTGAAGTCCACACCTCTTAAAGTGGCTGAGGTTGAGAAACACTGCTTTAAGTGCCTATTTTAACTCCTGCAACATTTTCCATCACTTTTGACACCGTTTTCACTCTTATGGGTAGCTTTTTGTAAATCATCGGTTTGTGAAGCGCGTGCATGTTTGCTCTGTAATTGGGAAATAATAGGAAGAATGAAATTATGGGTGAGAGCGGGAAGCTAGCAGACCAGCATTAGCAGGCAAAAATTCAATTAAGGACGCTAACTGCCAGCCCTTGAAATGTCTGAGTTATCTACTCCTCCTCTGCTGGTAGCACGGGGTCCCTGTCCCAGTGTTTGGGGGTGCTTTTCTATCTAAAAAAGCCATCGGAGCAGGATAGGTTTCGTAAGTCCCTGTTTCTCAGAGTGGCGCTTCCTTCTTTCGTAGTTTCTCGATGGCATTTTTATTTGTCGTTTCTTTACGGCAGCCCTGATAAAAGGTACACCTTGGTTGGATCTGTAGATGGCACCATTTTCCTCTGGAACACGAGGACTGGAAAGCTGGAAACCCGCCTGGCAGGAGTGCACCGGTGAGACATTTTTTGGCTTGAAAGGAGGATGCCAATAGTGCAGACCTGGTGGGTCGAAAAATGTGCCAGACCTGCAAAAGCGAGTCCTCCGTTCTTCCTCCTCTCCCGCAGGCCCAATTATTGGCGGGGTGCCGGTGGCTCCCTCCAAAGCTACATGCCTTGTTTTTAACCGGGGTTTTAAAGTTAAGGAAAGCATTGCCTCTTTAAAAGCCCTTTAAGAGCCCTTTAAAGGTCTCACTCAACTGCAATGCACTTTTAGGCCTTTTCTGGGGTTCAGGACTCCCCTCTGCAGAAGAGAAGCAAAGGGTCTTGGACTGGACGGGGCATCTGGTTTTGCAAATGTCGTTCCTGATGTGGAGATCGCCCTTTGCTGGGAGTTGTCTGGACCCTGCTTATGACAGCCTAGAGGAGCCCAGGGGATGGGCCAGCTCCTAGCCGGCATCGTGTGAACGGAGGCCCCGCTCTGTCTCTCTCCAGGTCTTCCGTGAATGCTGTGGCTTGGTGTCCCTTTGGGATCCGCATCGGGAGCGTGGACCAGTGCCGGAAAGTTGTGCTGTGGAGGTAGCAGAGGAGAAGACACGAGCTCTGTGCCTCTGTCCCTTTCTTAGACCTGCCCGCTTGTGCCTTTTGATGTGGGTTGCTGGATCTGAGAACGAGGACAGGCTGATGGGGCTGAGAAGGTGGTCTTCCTTGTGCTCAGGCGGCCCCAGATTTCTGTCTTCTTTCTTCCTTGCTATGGGCGAAGGATGCGAGATGGGAAGCCTCGTCTTTGGAGAGGCCTCCAACTCTCAGCAGGTCTGCAAAGCAGATGACGGGACCCTGCAAGGACTGAGAAAGAGCCGAGAGGTATTTCCAAGAGTTCAGTAAATGCTCCATCAGTGGCAGCCCTTTGAGGTAGGCCAGCTCAGGAATCAGACACTGCAAGGACTCCTGGAACTCTGATGGTTGGGGCGCTTGTACCAGAAATCTGAAAGCCTGCCAGAGTTTCCCTGGGCCCCCTGTGCAGAATCAAGCAGGGTTATTTTGAGTCTCTTTCTTGCACTCTCTCCTTTCCCAGGGCTGAGACGTTGTTTACTATCTCTTTTATCTGCTAGCGGCTCTTACCTTCCTTCACCAACATCATCTCTCCTTTTCTCGACCTCTGGGGACAATCCAGTGCCTTGAGAGGGCTTTTGCCGGGAATTTTGGATTCCTCCATATACAGTGGCAGTGTCCTGAATGACCATGGCTGCTGGGAGAAGCTGAGACAGGAAGGTGAGCACCGTCCTGTTCTGCTTGGCCTCCTTCCGTGGCAGCTGGTTATCCGCCGTGGGAAGGAAACGCCCGGCCCACACGCATCTTTGATCCAAGTTCCTGGGGCAAAGACGGACAGGACAGGCGTGTCCCTGGTCCCCCAGCAAGGCCAATGTTGCATTCCGTGATAGAGAGCGAGACTGGGGTGTTCGCAGGGTGTGGTGGAAAAAGTCAAGATGGCAGCCATGACCCGGCCATTGCCACTCTGGCCTTTGTTTTGGCAGAAAAACAGGCAGAGCTTCAGACCCACATTCAAAGTGGGCTGCTTCTCTTCACCGCATTTCCCTGTTCTCTTCCGGTCTGGCCTTTGCCCTTTTTGGCCACTGCACTGGTCTGCTCTCCAAGCAAATCAGCTGGAGGACTGCCCCTTTCACTCCAGCTGGCCTCCTCCTCCTCCTCTCTTTTCCTTCTCCTCTTCCTTCTTCTATTTCTCCTCCTCCTCCTCCTCCCCCCCCCCCTCCCCCCCCCCCTCCCCCCCCCC